GCCGCCGGCAGCTCCGCCGCAGCGCGAGCGCGCGCAGCGCGCGCAGCACGGCGCCCACCAGGCGGCGCGCGCACGACCTGCCGACCTGCGCGCCGCGCCGCGCCAGGCTGCCCTCGGGGGAGGTCGGACGCTTCCTGACGACCTCGCCGGTTCCCAGACATGGTCGCGTCGTTTTTTTTGTTTGTCCCAACCTTCCTGTGGTGCTGGGTCCTGTTTTTGAAGAGGCAGCGCCCCGCGTCCCACCTTCCTTCCTCCTCCTCCCCCCTCCTCCTCCCCCTCCTCCCTCCTTCCCCTCATTGGCTCTGCTCTCTGCACACCCCTCACACGCTTCGTAGCCTCATAGGGAGCTCCACCGAAGGTCCCAGTGGCACAGCCCGCATGCGGTTCTCCCACCCAGGGCAGCGTTTCGTGGCCCCATAGGGAGCTCCACCGAAGGTCCCAGTGGCACCCCCCGAATGCGGTCCCCCCACCCAAGGCAACGCTTCGTGGCCCCATAGGGAGCTCCACCGAAGGTCCCAGTGGCAGCCCCCGCATGCGGTTCCCCCACCCAGGGCAGCGTTTCGTGGCCCCATAGGGAGCTCCACCGAAGGTCCCAGTGGCACAGCCCGCATGCGGTTTCCCCGCTCACGGCAGCGTTTCGTAGCCCCATAGGGAGCTCCACCGAAGGTCCCAGTGGCACAGCCCGCATGCGGTTCCCCCCACCCAGGGCAGCGTTCCGTGGCCCCATAGGGAGCTCCACCGAAGGTCCCAGTGGCACAGCCCGCATGCGGTTCCCCCAGCCAGGGCAGCGCTTTCGTGGCCCCATAGGGAGCTCCACCGAAGTCCCAGTGGCACAGCCGCATGCGGTTCCCCCCCAGCCAGGGCAGCGCTTCGTGGCCCCATAGGGAGCTCCACGAAGGTCCCAGTGGCACAGCCCGCATGCGGTTCCTCCACCAGGGCAGCTTTCGTAGGCCCCATAGGGAGCTCCACCGAAGGTCCCAGTGGCACAGCCCGCATGCGGTTCCCCCACCCAGGGCAGCGCTTCGTGGCCCCATAGGGAGCTCCACCGAAGGTCCCAGTGGCACAGCCCGCATGCGGTTCCCCCAGCCAGGGCAGCGCTTCGTGGCCCCATAGGGAGCTCCACCGAAGGACCCAGTGGCACAGCCCGCATGCGATTCCCCCACACAAGGCAACGTTTCGTAGCCCCATAGGGAGCTCCACCGAAGGTCCCAGTGGCACAGCCCCCGCATGCGGTTCCCACTTCCAGGGCAGCTTTTCGTGGCCCCATAGGGAGCTCCACCGAAGGTCCCAGTGGCACAGCCCCCGCATGCGGTTCCCACTCCCAGGGCAGCTTTTCGTGGCCCCATAGGGAGCTCCACCGAAGGTCCCAGTGGCACAGCCCGCATGCGGTTCCCACTCCCAGGGCAGCGCTTCGTGGCCCCATAGGGAGCTCCACCGAAGGTCCCAGTGGCACAGCCTGCATGCGGTTCCCCCGCCCAGGGCAGCGCTTCGTGGCCCCATAGGGAGCTCCACCGAAGGTCCCAGTGGCGCAGTTCGCATGCGTCCTTTCCACCCAGTACAGCGTTCCGTGGCCCCATCCGGGGCTCCCCCGAATGCGATACCCACAACTGCATATGGTCGGGTCCTTCGCCAGGCTAATAAAGAACAACAACAAAACAAGCGAGAGAGAGAGAGAGAGAGAGAGGAGGAGGAAGCGGGAGGAGGAGGAGGAGGAGGAGGAGGAGGAGGAGGAGGAGGAGGAGGAGGAGGAGAGGATGTTCTGGGAAAACAAGAACCCCATTCAGGATGTGGGGAACAACAACAAAAAAACGAGAAAGAGAGAGAGAGAGAGAGATAGAGACAAAAAAACACGACGGGAGGTTTGGGGCACTTTTGGCCCTGTTCGGCCTCTGGGGGCCCTCGCCGGGGCGGGGCCCCCAGAGGCCGTCCGCAGACGACTCGGGGATGAACAACTGGTCGCGGGGAAGGGGTCGGGACTTCTGGGGACCGCGTACCGTCGGGGCGTTGACCTAAGGAACCCTGAATACGGCAGGTTCGTGTCGTGCCGACCCCGGCGTTGGTTTTTGACACCGCAGGGATCGTTCAACCTTGAACGATCGGCCGCTGCCGCAACGTCCGATCGTTCAACATCGATCGATTCTGGGTCGCCGGCGGCGTTCAACCTTGAACGTCCGCGCTGGGGTCGCCGCTGGTCGACACGACGCAAACCTACCGTAAGGAACGGGGCCCCTTTTTCCAATAAGTTCAACCTCGATTTCCCATGGAAAACCTCCGGAAGACCCGAGGTAAACTTTGAAACAAACCAGGAGCACCGAGCCCCTCCCCAACGAAAAGGGTTCCTTCTTCAGGGCCCCGACTGCACTGAAAAAGTCAGGACGTCGCCTGTTTGGGAAGACACACACACACCTGCTGACAGCAGGCCACCCTCACTCCGGAGCAGTGCCAGAAGAGGGCGGACCCTCTCGGTGGAAGACGGAGCGGCCGTGGAAGTCGAACGCAGCATGCGCAGCAGAGGCACTGGCAAGCCCAAGCCGGCACGCTGCAACGCGTACCCGACCGGGACGCGGCCGGCCGGCGGTTTCCAAGAAGGTCTTCTGGCCTCGGGGTGCTTCCCAGCAGCTGCCCCTCGCCGAGGGCGCTCCAGGGGCTGCCCTGGGCGGCGCCGAGGGGCCGCCGCAGGCCGGAGCTGTGTGCCCCGAGAGCCAAAGACTCGGAGGATGCGAAGCCCCATGTCTGCGACGGGTGTGGGTTTGCAGCCAACGGGATGTCCTCGATCTTGGCCCCCGCGGCCTGCTCTTGGAGCCAGGTGCCCTTCAAAAGCGGCTCGGGGGCGAAGAACAGTCAACCCGTATAATAAGGACGCGCGATGAGGATGCAAGTGCCTTGGGGAAGCGGTAGGGACCTCTTGGAGGCGACGACGAGAAGATGCATTTTCTCATGGCTTCTCGCTTGGAGGCTGGTGGAGGAATCGAGACCCGGGGGGTTCTTAAAAACACATCTTCGTCGCAATCCTGCCCCCTCGTCGGCCTCCGATGGGAAATGCTGGCTCGCCAGCCGTCGCCCATCGTCTGTCGTCCGCCGTCGACGTCGTCATCGTCGTCGTCGTCCGTCGTCGTCCGTCGTCCGTCGTCCGTCGTCCGTCGTCCGCCGTCGACGTCGTCATCGTCGTCGTCGGCCGCCGTCGTCGTACGTCGTCCGTCGTCCGTCGTCGTCCGTCGTCGTCGTCGTCCGTCGTCGTCGTCGTCGTCCGTCGTCGTGGTTCATCGTCCGTCGTCCGTCGTCGTCATCGTCCATCGTCGTCGTCGTCGTCGTCGTCCGTCGTCCGTCGTCGTCGTCGGGACGGCACACGTTTCGCCCGCAGTTGCCTTCTCACTTCTGTGCGCAGCCAACCTCTCCAAGGCAGTCCACAGCCCACGCGCCCCGCGCAGCTTGCGCAGAGCCTCCGACAAGGCAAGGATGGCCCTCTTCGCTGCCGCATGCTGCTGCCACCGCCACAGCGCGCCGAAGGCCAACGGTTGCAACAGTAAAGGGCGCGACCGGATCAAGAACGCCCGTGCCCCGCACAGGCGCGCGGCAGCGGCCCGCCAACCGCGCCAAGCCCGGCGGGCCAGCAGCCGTCGAGACAGCCTGTGCTGGTGCCGAGCAGCACGCTGCACGCGCGTCACCCAGGCGGAAAGGCAGCGCTCGCACCCGTCCTGCAGCTGCCTTCTCCGTCGGCGCGACCACGTCATCCACTGGCACAGCGCGCTCGCCAGCCACGAGCGCTGGCGCTGCGAAGCTCTGCTTCGGATCCTGGGGAGGGCAAGAGGACCTCCGTGCGGCTACTGCTCCAGACCTCTCTCGGCGACTCTGGAGGATGTGGTTTGTAAAGGGTGCGGATGGCATCCCACACCCTGGGGGGCGGGCGGGGACCTCGACAGAACTCTCCGCTGCGCCCCGAGGAGGCCCGGCGAGGGCAACGTGCTGGCCCCCCAAGCCCAAACGACACAGATCGCAAACCACAGCCCAGCGTAACTACACACAAACACACAGACACACAGACACAGACACACACACACACAGACAACACACACACAGACACACGAACACACAAGCCACACAAACACCACACACAGACACACACAGACACACACAAACACAGACAGACACACAGACGCACACACACACAGACACACACACACACAGAGACACACACAGACCCACACACAGACACACAGACAGACACACACACAGACACACACACAGACACACACACAGACACACATAAACACACATAGACACACATAGACACACACAGACAAACACAGACACACACACACACAAAGACACAGGCAGACACACAGACACGCACGCACACACAGACACAGACACACAGACATACACACGCAGAAACACACAGACACACACACACATGCAGACACACACACACACACACGCACCACACACAGACACACACAGACACACACACAGACACACACACAGACACACACACACACATACACACATGCAGACACACACACACACACGCACAAACTGACACACACACACACAAACACACAAACACACACTGGAACACACAAACACACAGACACACACACACGCACACTGACACACACACACACACACACCCAGACACACACACGCACACAGACACACACACACAGACACACACACACACAGACACCCACAGGCACATATACAGTCACACAAGCAGACACATACCCACACACACACAGACACAAACAGGAGCACACACGGACACACACAGACACACCCTGACACACACACACACACACACACACCGAGACAGACAGACAGACAGACACATACAGACACACACACAGACACACACAGACACACACACACAGACACACATAAACACACATAGACACACACAGACACACACACAGACAAACATAGACACACACAAAGACACAGACAGACACACATACACAAACACACACAGACACCCACAGGCACACATACAGACACAAACAGACACACACACTGACTCGCACACACAGACAAGCACACATACAGACGCACACGTACACATATACAGACACATACAGACAAAAAACACAGACACACACAGACACACACACACACACAAACACACAAACACACATTGATACACACAGTCATACACAGACACACACACATATACACACAGACACACACACAGGCACACACAGACACACATGGACACAGATACACACAGACACGCACACAGACACACACACACAGACACACACACACTGACACAGACAGACACACACAGACACACGAACACAGACACACACACACACAGACCAACATTCACGGACACACACATATACACACAGACACACGCAGACACACATTCACAAACACACGTTCACAGACATACACACACAAACCATAACTCACACGGACACACACAGATACAGACACACACAGACACATACACACAGACACACACGACACACACAGACACACAGACACACACCGACACACACACACACACGCACACATACAGACACACATACAGACACACACACACTGACACATACACACAGACAAACACATACAAAGACACACTGACATACACAGACACATAAACTGACACACAGACACACACAGAGACACATACAGCCACACACCGACACACACACAGGAACACACACAGCCACACACACACAGACACACGGACACAGGCACACACGCACGCACGCACGCACGCACGCAGCACGCTCGCTCGCTCGCGTGCGCGCGCGCACGCACGCACGCACGCACGCACACACCCACACACCCAAACCCACACCCACACACCTTGTAGAGTCATCGGCTCTCCTGCTGTGCCTTTTGGCAAGGGCCTCAGGGCGACTCCGAGGTGGACTTGGCCGTGGCGACGAGGGCCTCCCCTGGGAGGCCCAAAGCGGACAGACGAGGGATGGGAGCTCCGGGTATCGGACTACAGGGCAATTTTTATTATATGGGATTTCTAAGAATATAGGATTTTCGATATATGATCAATTTATGAAAAAATGTATGCATGAACTCATCGTTGTTTCTAATACTAAATTCCTGTATTTTAATACATGATCCGCACGCGGAGCATGTATTAAAAACGGCCCTGTACGGTCGGGAGAACGTCTGCCTCGCATGCCACGGCGGCGGCCCCAGCGACACGTATACGAATGCCCTACGACCGCGGGGCGGGAGCCTGGGAGAGGCGCGGACCTCTGACGCCTCGGGACTGGGGCACCTCCTCCTCATCCCCCTCCTCCTCCTCCTCCTCCTCCTCCTTCCCTCCTCCTCGTCCTCCTTCTCCTCCTCCTCCTCCTCCTCCTCCTCCTCGTCCTCCTCCTCCTCGTCATCAGCGCCGAAGCGTGGTTGGTCGGAACCGGCGGAGGGACACGGCCACCAAAACAGAAGAAGACACAACGGTAGAAGCATCAACTTTCGAAGGTCGACGCGGATCCCTTGGATCTTCGCTGGACACCCCCCTCCCTGGCGCGCGGAGCGCGCCAGGGGCGGCGCCGGAGGTTCCAACGCAGATCCAACAAATCCGCGGGGACCTCCGAACATTTCTATTTATACCGTTGTCTTCGTTAGCGTGTCGCTCCGCCGATTCTGGCCCTCTACGCTTCGGCGCGACACGGTATCCACGCCCCAGTCCCCAGCGTTGAAGGGTCTGAGCCTTTTGTCTCCGATGACCACAAGGCCCCGCCCGTACGCAGACATCTGGCGCTCCCATTTCTTCGATGCGTATGGACCACATCCCTAGGGCCGGTGTTTCGTCCCGAGTCGCTCTCTGACAGTAGCCGTCCGCGAAAAGCTGTTCGGAACCTCGGATCTCTGGGTCTTTCTGACTACCTACCAGACCACACCAACCCAACCCGAAGACCCGAATTTCGGGTTGGGGGGGGGTATGGGCTCCATCTGTGTTTTTTCGGTGTTCCCAGACCCCCCCACACTGGAAATTGACTACCTACCAGACCACCCCAACCCAACCCGAAGACTCGAATTTCGGGTTGGGGGGGGTAAGGGTTCCACATGTGTTTTTTCGATGTTTCCCGACCCCCCCACCACTGGAAATGGAGGGCACACTGTGAGGCCTTCGGGTTGGCTTGGGGTGGTCTGGTGGGTGGTGACTTTCGGCCCCGAGGTCCACGCCCTCGCTGCCTGCCCCGAGCGCCAGGCCCGCAGCGCCGCGGCCGCCAGCGCCCCCGCCGCCCTCGCCTCGCGGGCGGAGCTCGGGAGCGGCCAAGAGGGGGGTGTCCGAGAGGGGGGGTGCAAACCATGGCCGGCGGCACGTGCGCGGCCCAGCGGGGGGGCCGGGGACGCAGTGGAAGAAGAAGAGGCGCCTTGAAATCTGGGGAAGTATCATGGCCCACGCCATGAGATCCACCCCCCCCCAGCCATCACCCCCTCTTTGCCGCCCCCGAGAAGCGCACGTTCGTATCCGCGGCCTCGCGGGCCGGGGCCCTGTGCCGCGACCCCGCGGACACGGGGCGCTCCCGCGTGGATGCCCCGCGCGGAGGGCGTCCGTGCGACCGCGTATCCGCTGGATTGCGCCCTGGAGTCCAGACCGCGAGGGCGCGGGTGCGGATGCGTTCGCCGCTCCAACGGGGCGGCACTCCTCCTCCCCCTCCGTGAGGAGGAGGAGGAGGAGGAGGAGGAGGAGGAGGAGGAGGGGGAGGAGGAGGGGGAGAAAGAGGGGGAGGAGGAGCAGGAGGAGGAGGAGGACCAGTGTAAACCCCAGAGTCACCAAAGATGTTGGAGTAAACCCTCTCTCCAAGCTCCCTCTTCGCAGGCCCCTAGAACGGTTCATTCCCATAGGCCCAAAGAGGGAACTGCCTCGTTGGAAGACAACCGTTTGAAGACCCTGAAGCATGCCAAAACATTGCTCTCGGCTTTCCAACGCCGCGGATTAACCTGATTGTGGCGTCTTGACGATCCGGATTCGTGCCAGAAAGCCATTCCTGGGATATCAACGCCGCAAGTAAACGTAACTGTTGCACCCTCATAATCCTGAATCCTTCCAACACACGTTTTCTGGTACGTTGCTCACGGGAACCCGTGAAACTCTTGCAAATGTATAAAACGAATGTGCGCGGCGCTCAGGCGAGAGCCACATTTGGAAAAAGAACCGCCCTCACTCCGTGAAACTGAAACTCTTGTAAATCATGAGAACGAATGTGCGCGGCGCTCAGGCGAGAGCCACATTTTGAAAACGGCCCGCCCTCAATCCATGAAGCTCTTGCAAGTTGTTAAAATGAATGTGCGCGGCGCTAAGGCGAGAGTCATACTTGTGAAAACGACCCGCCCTCCATCTCTGAAGCTGCTGCTTTGTTTTCAGCTTCAGGGTCATCAGTGATGAGGGAGTCTCAGGCGAAACGCCGGGTCTGCCCTCAACACTGGTCTCGGGGTGCGACAGGGAAAAGACACTTAAAGGAAAAGGAAAGAAGGAGGATGAGGAGGAGAAGGAGGAGAAGGAGGAGGAGGAGCAGCAGGAGGAGGAGCAGGAGGAGGAGGAGGACGATGAGAACTAGGAGGACGAGGAGGACAAGGAGAACGAGGAGGACGAGGATGAGGATGAGGATAAGGATGAGGACGACGAGGAGGAGGAGGAGGAGGAGGAGAAGGAGGAGGGGGAGGGCGAGGAGGAGGAGGAGGAGTAGGAGGAGGAGGACGAGGAGGAGGACGAGGAGCAGGACGAGAAGGAGGAGGAGGAGGACGAGGAGGAGGAGGAGCAGAAGCGGGATGATGATGATGATGATGATGATGATGATGATGATGATGATGATGATGATGATGATGATGATAATGATGATGCTGATGATGATGATGCTGTTGATGATGATGGTGGTGGTGGTGATGGTGATGGTGGTGATGGTGATGAGGATGAGGATGATGATGATGATGATGATGAGGAGGAGAGGAGGAGGAGGAGGAGGAGAGGAGGAGGAGGAGGAGGAGCTGTAAGTAGTAGGACGAGGAGGAGGAGGAGGAGGAGGAGAAGGAGGAGGAGGAGGAGGAGGAGGAGGAGGGGGAGAAGGAGGAGGAGGAGAAGCAAGAAGAGGAGGAGGAGGAGAAGTAGGAGGAGGAGGAGGAGGAGGAGGGGAGGAGGAGGCGGAGGAAGAAGGAAGAGGAGGAGGAGGAGGAGGAGCAGGAGCAGGAGCAGGAGAAGGTGCAGGAAGCGGAGAAGGAGCTGCGAGGAGGATCGCCCTCGCCGCGCCCCCGAGGCGGCGCTCCGCCGCCGCGGCCCCGCACCCGCGCGCGAGCGCGGCGAGCGCCCGCCGCTGCAGCGCGGCGTGCGCGCGGCTGCTGGGCTCGCCGCCGCCCCGAGTGGCCGCGGCGGGCTCCGCGGCGGCGGCTGCCGCGAGCAGCTGGCCGCGGAGCGAGGCGGCCTCTGCACCGTGGCGCGCCTCGTCGGAGAAGCCCTCCTTCTCCTCCTCCTCCGCCTCCGCCTCCTCCTCCTCCCTCCTCCCCTCCTCCTCCTCCTCCTAGCTCTCACTCCTCCCTCTCCTCCTTCTCCTCCTCCTCCTCCTCCTCCTCCTCCGCCTCCTCCTCCTCCTCCTCCTAGCTTCTCCCCCTCCTCCTCGTCCTGCGCCTCCTCCTCCTAATTCCTCCTCTTCCCGCCTCCTGGTCGCGCTCAGATCGACAGGTCGCGCGCTGTCCACCTGGTGGACGCAGTGTTTCGTGTGCCGTGGCGCGCCTCGTCGGAGAAGCTCAGAGATCCGAGAGAGAGAACGACGACGACGACGACGACGACGACGACGACGACGACGACGACGACGACGACGACGACGGCAACCTGCGCGCCGCGGCGCGCCTCGACGGAGGAGAAGCCTGGACCCAAGTCGCATCGCGCGCCGCGATGCGCTGCGCGCGAGCATCTTCGCGCCCTCGCGCCCGCGCCGCCACCTTGGAGACGGGCAACCGCTCTGGCCCAGACCGCGGCGCGCAGGGCAGGATCGTCTTCGCGCCCCCCGCGGGTGACTCGGGGGGGAAAAAAAAGCCGGGACCGTCAGAAGACGGCCCTGAGGACGAAACACCGGCCCCGAGAGCCTGGTTGTCTTTGGATCCAGGCAGGTTTACTTGCATGGCGTTCGCCTCCCCCCCCCACCCCACCCCACCCTCGCCCCTCTTCGATCGAAGACGAGCGTGCAAGTGCCTCTCGACTCGCGTGGCTTCCGAACGTCAAGCTGTTTTCGGCTTGCTTCAGGCTCCGGCCCCGCCCCCCGTCCATGCGAGTGAACTTGCCCGAGTCACAAGAAAAACAAGCTCCAAGGAAGTGGCACAGACCGCCGGGGTTCCACGCATCAGCAAACATTGGAGCGCCGGGGCCGACCTTTCGGCTCTGGCGGAGTCGATTCTCGAGCTGCTCCAGAAGCTCGGGGGGCCCAGAGACCCGAGGCTCCGCCCAGAATCGGAGCGGCCGTTGTGTGGCCGCTCCTGCGTCTGGGGGCCCTCCACCGGCCCTGGGCCGTCGGAAGACGGCCCCGGATGGAAAACACGGCCCCCGGGGAGTGGTCCAGAGCTCCCTGGGGGTTCGAGCCTCGAGCAAATTGGAGCGCTGGATCTGTGGGAGCACGAAGATAGCGAAGCGAGGTGGAAGTAGTGGATACGTGGGAGGAGGAGGAGGAGGAGGAGGAGGAGGAGGAGGAGGAGGAGGAGGGGGTTGGAGCATCGAACAAATTGGAGCGCCGGATCCGTGGGCACACGGGCCACCGCCACCAGGAACCCATCGGCAGGGGGCGGACCCCAGGGCGGTGACACACCCGAGCTGAGTCACCCACGCACGGGACGACGCTCAGATGAAGGCGGAGCAGATGGAGGTGGAGGTCGAGGTGAGAGAGGAGGGGACGCGGAGGTGGAGAAAACAAGAAGTGGGCATGGACGTGGATGTGCACACGAAGATAGCGGGGCGAGGTGGAAGTAGTGGATACGTGGAAGGAGGAGGAGGAGGAGGAGGAGGAGGGAGGAGGAGGAGGAGGAGGAGGAGGAGGAGGATGGGGTTCGAGCATCGAACAAATCGGAGCGCCGGCTCTGTGGGAACATGGGCCACCGCCCTCGGCAGGGGCACGGCTCCTGGCGTGGCGCACCCGAGCGGTGTCACCCGGCACCGGACGGCGCTCCGGCGAGCCCCGCCGCCCAAGGGGTCGGGTCGGGCTGCGGAGGCTCCGCCTCGTCCTCGTCCTCGTCCTCCTCCTCCTCGTCTTCCTCCTCCTCCTCCTCCCTCCCTCCCTCCCTCCACCCCTCCCCTCCCCTCCCCTCCCCTCCCTCCCCTCCCCTCCTCCCCTCCCCTCCCCCCTCCCTCCCTCCCTCCCTCCCTCCTCCTTCCTCTCCTCCTCCTCCCCTCCTCCTCCTCCTCCTCCTCCTCCTCCTCCTCCCCCTCCTCCTCCTCCGCCCAAGGGGTCGGACATGCGGCGTCCTGCTCTTTTCAGTGCGCGGCCCCCAGAAAGCCCGACCCTGTCCCCGGGACCGGCTTTGCATCCCGAGTCGCTTTTTGACAGCCCCGAGGCCCAGCGAGGGCCCCCAGAGGCCGAACATGGCCAAAAGACGCCCGTCGTGTTTTCTGTCATAAAGAACAAGCAACAGACAAAACAAAACAGCAAAAACAAATACGACGCGATCCTCTGGGTCCCCCCTGCCGAGGGGCTCTCGGTGGCGGTGGTCCGCGTTGCTGCTCCGAGGGCCTCCGCGTCGGCGGCCGCGAGCTCGCGGGCGCCCAGCGCCCGCGCCCGCGCCTCCGCCTGCCGCAGCTGCGCCGCGGCCGCGGCCGCGGCGGCCCGCTCCTCCTCGCGGGCAGTCGAAATACGTGGGCGACGAGGAAGAAGGGGGTACTGTGGGACCTAGGCCAGAAGCACATCCCTCAAGTATATGAGATCCCCCGTCGGCCAGAGACCACAGAACATCCAAGGGTACCCTCCCCAGGAGGCACACGAGCCTCCAACAAACACGAAGAACATCAGGGCATTCCCCTCGAACCGACCTCGATCTGGTACCTCAGTCCGACTGTACTACACGAGAGAGCACACAGTCAACCCGTATCACCAGGAGGCGGGGTAAGGATGCAAGCGCCCTGGAGGCGCAAGTGACACGGACGTGTTTCGAACGAGGTTGGCCAGCGCAGGTGGCCAAGGGTGGGCCGAAGGGGCAAAGCTGGCACCCTTGGGAAGGTTGCCCATCCTTATTGCGCGGGCTTCACTGTGCAGTCGAAACGCTGCCGTAAGGACCCCAACGCAAGGAGCGAGGCCCTTTTTTCTCCATAAGTGAAACTTCGATTTCCCATAGAGGAAACCCAAGGAACACCCAACACAACCTGTAAATCAATTAAAGAACACTGAGCCTCTCCCCAACGGGAAGGATTCCTTCTTCAGCGGCCCGACTGTACAGCCAACAATGTGACCAAGAAAACTATCATTTTAGAAAGCCGGACCAACTTCCAGGACATTTCTTAAGAGAAGCCTGGCCCGAGTTATGTGGTCAACGCTGGAGGGGCGAGCGTGAACAAGAATCTGGGTCAGCTTTCTGGCAAGTGTGTTGAGAAGCGCTGGCCCCGACTTTAGGCGGAGGGAGCCTTAACCATATGCTCGGCTGTAGATGCCTCACGCCGAGGCTTACGCGGGCGATCAGCGCGGCACGCCGCCACATCGGAAGCGAGGGCGCCTTGCGCGCGACCTTGCGCGGGCAGCGTGCGCGCGAATGTCCGCGCGCAGTCGGCCCCAATGTTCTTCCGTCGTCCCTGTGGATGCTGCTTTGGCAGAACACGGAGGTGCACAATAGCATGCGACATCCTGGTGGTATTGCAGTAAAGATGCGTCGGGGGTTCGGATTCTTTGCGAGCGCGCACTTCCTCATCATCCTCCGCTGCACAATCGTCATCATCGTCGCCAGCGTCGTCACCTCATCCCTGCGGAGACGCCATTTGCTGGAGGAGGTGATTGGGCGCGAATGAATGGGGGGGCGGTGAATGGAGGGGGAAGACAGATGTCCTCTTCGGCCCTGAAGGCCCCCTTCTGAGCCCGCAAGGGCTCTTTTCAGGGGCCCTGAAGGGCCCTTTTTGGGCAGCCCTCGCTGCCCTCGCATTTATCGCCCCCTCATTGTGCGCCCTCCAAATTTGATAGAAAGGAAATGGAATTTCCAAGAACACTCCGGAGCCTTCCAGAACGACCCCAAACATCCAAATACATCCTCGAGCTTCGACCCTGAAACCTCGATCCTCATGAGGAATCGGTTGCCCTCCTATACCCCCCTTCTGGAAAAATAATGCAACTTTTGCAGGTCGTGTCGGAAATCGTCCGGGGGACTTCCCCAGAGGTAGGTCTTTCATCCTGGGCCCGTTTCTGAGTCCCTGGACCCGAACACGGCCCCTGGATGCCGAAAAACGACGAACAATCCAAGGCGGCAAACACCACCAGATCGACGACGAAAGTTGCCTTACTTTTCCAGGGTAGTGTGGGCACATTCCTCGAAGTACGCCCCCACCGTATGGTGGACACCTGGCCAAGTTTTCATCAGCGCGCACGACTTGTTAACACCATCTGTCCGCACCAGAGCCCACGATGCACAGGCGGGGGCACGCAACGAGAGTGACACGAGCTACGGCCCGCCAAAGGTACCAATTAGAAACAGGCAACCGCCGTAACGGGCTGGTGACGCGGCGGGGCGAGGGGGAGGAGGAGGAGACCCAATGCGAAATTTCGGCCAGCGCCCGCGTGCTTCAAGACGGCGAGAGGGCGGGGACCGCCCGCTGGAGGGGGGGAGGGGGGCAAGGGGGGGAGAGAGGGGGGCACGGGGCGGGGGAGGGGGAGGAGGAGGAGATGGAGGAGGAGGAGGAGGAGGAGGAGGAGGAGGAGGAGGAGGAGGAGGAGGAGGAGGAGAGGAGGAGGAGGACACCCAATGCGAAATTTTGGCCAGCCCCGCGCGCTGCAGGTCTGCAAGAGGAGGGCGGGGACCGCTCGCGGGAGGGGGGGGGGGGTAAGGCAAATCCGCCCGCGGCGGGCGTGAGCCCCGTGCACAGCACGGCCTTCGGGCACACGTGCAGGCGCGCAGCGTGCTGAAATTTCGACGCCGCACCCCGCCGCGGCGGAGAAGGGCGCGAGGGGCGCGGGGGGGGTGGAGGGATCGCTTCCTACTCCTCCTACTCCTCACCCTCCACCTCCTCACCTCCTCCTCCTCCTCCCTCATCCTCCTCCTCCTCCTCCTCCTTCTCCTCCTCTCCTCCTCCGCCACCTCCACCTCCTGGTTCCTCCTCCTCCTTCCTTCTCCTCCTCCTCCTCCTCCTCATATTTCCTCCTCATTTACCCCTCCTCCTCCTCCTCCTCCTCCTCCCTCCTCCTTCTCCTCTCCTCCTCCTCCTCCTCCTCCTCCTCCTCATTTTCCTCCTCCTCCTCCTCCTCCTCCTCCTCCTCCTTCTCCTCATTATCCTCCTCCTCATCTTCCTCCTCCTGCAGCGCGGGCGGGGACCGCCCACTGGAGAGGGGGGGGGGCAGCAGGGCAGGGCCGCCGCGGCGCGGCGTGGGCCCGCGCAGCATGGGGCTCAGCGCACGAGCAGCGAGCCTCGGGTCGAGAGGCGTGCGCGTCGGTCGGAAGAGGATTGCAACAAAAAAACAACCGAAGGATTGCAAAAATACCTTGGGTTTTTTGCAATCCTTCGTTTTTTGCAATCCTTCGAAGGGTTTGTTGCAATCCTTTGCAATCCTTCGGTTTTGTTTGCAATCCTCGGTTTTTTGCAATCCTTCGGTTTTTTGCAATCCTTCGTTCATGCATGAAGTAGGAAGACTGCTGAAGTAGTTTTTGCGTCCAGGCCCTCCCAGGGCACAACAGCGAGCACACACACAGCAGAAGCAGATCTCTCGTGGAGCAGGAGGGCGCTTGGAGCGGGTGGGGATCTTGGGCTCCAGAAGTGTCTGCCTTCGACGACCGACGGGTACGCAGCTCTCCGCCGCTGCGGATCAAAGAAGTGGCTCCTCACAAAAGAGCACTCCTGCCGACAACCGCGGACATCTCGCCCGTCATATTGCATTGCGAAGCTGGCCGGAACGAAGAGAAGGGAGGAGCGAGGAGGAGGGAGAGTCGCTGCGGATAAAAGCTTGATAAGGGGGCTGGGGGGGGGAGGATCACTGGGCCGAGCGCGGCCGCTCCCTCGCGCGTCGCCAGCCCATCCAGAAGCGATGCCCAGGCGAGCTGCTGGGAGAAAGGGCGTGACATAGCCCCTGCAGCTGCGTATAAGAGCGAGAGGGCGAGGGGGGGGAATCGTCGGCAGCCTGCGAGGCTCGAAAGCAGACTGGATGAAGCCCGCCGCGGGTGCCGATGGATGCGTCTTTCACGTCAGATGCTTCGCGCTTCCCGCTCCTATCACCCTTAGCCCCTAATCGCTTCCTGTGTCCTCACTCTCGCCGTTCTCAGTCCTTCCATCCTTCTTCCTCCTTGCTCCCCCTTCCTCATTGGCACGGCGAGCCAGCCGCAGGCGCCGGTGGTTCGTCAGAGCAGCGTGGTTGGGTCGCGGGCGGGTGGCGGGGAGGCCCGCTGGGCAGCGTACTAGGTCGGGCAAGTCCTTCTGCAGGCGGATTTTGGAAGGAACATATACAATAGCCGAACCAGATTCAAACACAGTGAAACATCAACCTCGGATGCTGTTTCTGGACCGTTTCTGGCGATTCCTCCTGTAGAGGGACATGCCCGACTTAAGCGTAGTCTTAAGTCGGGCCTGTCCCCCTACAGGGGGATTTTCGACGGGGATTTTCGACGAAAACTAAAGAATACCCCGCAAATAATCAAGAAACAATTCAAACATAGTCTGGGGATCATTTGTTTTAGATATGTTTTTGACCTCTTTGGGGCATTTTGGCAATGTTTCTTATTCGTTGTCGAGAATCCCCCTGTAGGGGGGACATGCCCGACTCAAGCGTAGTGGTGACCCCCCCCCGCTGGCTCTGTTGGGCGCCCGAATTATCCGGGGTAACTCGGGTCCGGGGTAACTCGGGTTTGGATTCCCGAAAAAACGAACCCGAGTTAGCCCTGACCCGAGTTACCCCTGATGATTTTGGGGCTCTGGACGCCCGAATTATCCGGGGTAACTCGGGTCCGGGGTAAATCGGGTTTGGATTCCCGAAAAACGAACCCGAGTTAGCCCTGACCCGAGTTACCCCTGATGATTTTGGGGCTCTGGACGCCCGAGTTATCCGGGGTAACTCGGGGCCGGGGTAACTCGGGTTCGGATTCCCGAAAAACGAACCCGAGTTATCCCTGACCCGAGTTACCCCTGATGATTCGGGGCTCTGATTATTTGTTGTCGAAAATCCCCCTGTAGGGGGACATGCCCGACTCAAGCGTAGTGGTGCCCCCCCCGGCGCTGCAGGTCGCCATTCGCGGGCTGCCAGGTGCCAGGTGTCGGCCGAGGGCCGCGCTTGCTTTGCTGTTGCTGCTGCTGCTGCTGCTGCTGCTTCTCGTCTTCTCCTCGTCGTCCCCTTCTGCTTTCTTCCTTTCTCCCAAGCCACAGGGCGCCCTCTCCGAGCTGGTAAAAAGTGACTCCCCCCGCTGGCTCTGCCCGATCCTCCGCGAGCCGCCGCAGCCGCGCGGCCTCCTCGCGCGCTGAGGCGTCGGGCCGCGGCGCGCCCGGCGCGGCCCGCAGGGCGTCGGCGAGGCCCTGCGGGCGCGCGGGGGGTGGCTGCTCGCGGGGGCTCTCTGGGGCCGGCGGGCTCCCTCCCCCCGGAGGGGATTGACTACCTACCAGGCCACCCCAACCCAACCCGAAGACCCGAATTTCGGGTTGGGGGGGGTAAGGGTTCCACACGTGTTTTTTCGATGTTTCCCGACCGCCCCCACTAGAAATCGAGGGTAAATCTGAGCCTTCGGGTTGGGTTGGGGTGGTTTGGTGGGTGGTGAGGGATGGGCCCCAGGGCGGAGCAGAGCCCGTCGTCGTCGTCGTCGTCGTCGTCGTCGTCGTCGTCGTCGTCGTCGTCGTCGTCGTCGTCGTCGTCGTCGTCGTCGTCGTCGTCGTCCGCCTCCCCCCCGATTGGGACGGGCCCCAGGGATGGGATGGGATTGGGATGGGATGGGATCGAATCGCGAAGTCGGATCGGGTCGGAGGCGGGCGTGATCGCCAGCGAGTCGTCCAGAAGCGACTCGAGATCGGATCTCGCCGCGCCCGACGCAGGCTGGCCTCGATCGGTGCCAAGGAGCCGGCATGAAGCGAGCCGGATCGGCATCGCGGCCCTGGACGGCGACGCGAATCGCAGCGAATCGGATCGTGGGCGGCCCTGCCTCAGGGCCCCGCTGGCCCCTCCCCCCCCCCGCCCACGCCGCCCCCCATACCCAGATGGGATGGGGGGCGACGACGACAGCGACGGCGACGACGACGACAGCGACGACGACGACGACGACCTCCTGCTCACCGAAGCACTACAACACCACGCGCGCCGTCGTCACTGTCGTCGTCGTCGTCGTCGTCGTCGTCGTCGTCGTCGTCGGCCACCTCTATCCCATCTGGGCCGGGGGGGCGTGGGCTGTTCGGCGCTACCATGCCAGGGCGACGATCCTGAGACCAGGACGCAGTTCCCCACGAGGCTTCGGCGCACGCGGCACGAGCCCAGAAGGGTTCAGCGCAGGTGCCACTAACCCCCGACGAATAGACCCCCCCGCGAGGGCTGAGCGCACGCGGCACGAGCCCTGAGGAGGCTTTAGCGCGCGCGGCGCGAAAGCCCGAAGGATAGACCCCTGCAACTTCTCCACGGCGGCATTGCCCCACACCCACAGGCAGGGAAACTGACCCAGAAGGGGTGGCCCGATCCCATTAGCATTGGGCGGGAGGACCCCGGCCCTGGACGAACTCTATGTGTATATTTAAATGTGTATATATATGCATATATACAGGTCTCTAAATTCATATACATATATATATATATACATATATATATACCTATATATTCATACATATATATATATAGAGATATACCTACATATACCTGTTTACAGATATGCATATATACATACACATATATATGTGTTTATATCCATGTCCCTGGCCCGTGGAACCGACGTGCTGGGACCCCAGCGTCGCGCGGTGGATATATTATCTATATATATATATATATGGGCCCCAGGGGCCCGAGTGTAGCCGACCACCGCCGCCTGCCGAAGACCCCGAAGGTCGAGCTCTCAGGATTCGAGGCAGACAAGACTGCATACGTCAACACGTATAATAAAGACACACGATGAGGATGCAGGGGCCTTGGAAGGCCATGCCAATACTTTTCGAGCGGGGCGCGGCCAGCGAAAAGGGAAGGGGAAGGATGCAAGGGGAATCTTAGAAAATCGCTTATCCTTACTATGCAGGTTGAGTGTAAACGTACTATTTCTCGGAGGCCCGCGTGGAATCGAAGAAACCCGCGCGGAGCGCAGAGAAATTATGCTCATGCCACTTTTGGTTTTACCGCCTCGGACTGGCGTCCCTAGAGGTCTCGACCTATTCCCCAAGACCGGGTCCTGAGTCGGTTTTTGACGGTCCCGAGGCCCGGTGAGGGCCCGAAGATTTGCAAGAAGCCTCCGTAGTGCTTTCTTCGACGAGAGGGTGTCAGGGTCCCCTCCCCCGTCCACTCCCCGAAGATCGATCGCCCAGGGTGGAACAGCCTCCTTGGGATCGCCCTTCTGGTTTCTCGAACAGGCGCTCGCCCCACCCCGCGCTCTGTAGGTCGGGCACGATGGGTGCAGGCACGTCCACCCAGGTCTGCTTTTAGGTCGGGCATGTCCTCCTACAGGAAGATTTCTGGGGAAAAAGAGACCATAGCTAAAAAAATACGGAAAACACTCAAACATAGTTGAAACAACATCGCCCCCTGGCTATTTTTGTTTCTACTATTCTTGAATATTCCTCCTGTGGAGGGACACGCCCGACTTAAGCCTGCTTGGCCGTGGGGGCGCGCACGTCGGGGGGTGGGAGGGTGGGGAACGAAGGAACGAGGCTGAACGCTGCCGCTGCGGACAGACAGCAGGCGGCAGGGGCGGACGAGGAGGAGGAGGAGGAGGAGGCCTCCGGCATGCGCTCCCTGGATCACCGCTATCCCTGGTAGTGCCGCCCCGGCCCCAGACACTGGGCGCTCCAATTGTTTCGACGCATGGCCCCCCTAGGTCTGGACCACTTCCTTCCTCCTCCTCCTCCTCCTCCTCCTCATCCTCCTCCATGTCGCATAGTCATTCGACGGTCCAGGGCCACATCGAGGGCCTTCGGAGGCAGAACATAACATGAGAAACACCGCAAAATTTGGTTTGAGGAGCTCTGGGACCGCCCCAGTCCCGCCGTTACCCTGCGGCCCAACCCTGAAGATACATCCCCGTTGGGTCGTCGCCGTCGTCGTCGTCGCCGCCGCAAACATCGTCGCCACCGCCGCAGCCGTCGGCGGCGTCGTCGCCGCCGCCGCCGCCACCAACGCTGTCGTCGTCGTCGTCGTCGTCATCGTCGTCGTCGTCGTCGTCGTCGTCGTCGTCGTGGTCGTCGTCGTCCTCGTGGTCGTCGTCGTTGTCGTCGTCGTCCCCGCCAACGCCGTCGTCGCCGTCGTCATCATCGTCGCCACCGCCGCCTTCGCGATCGTCGTCGTCGTCGCCGCCGCAGCCGCCGCCCCCGCCATCGTCGTCGTTCCCGCCGTCGTCGACGTCGTCGTCGTCGTCGTAGTCGTCGTCGTCGGCGTCGTCGTCGGCGTCTTCGTCGCCCTCTCGGTCACCGCCGCCGTCGCCGTCGTCGCCGCTGTCGCCACCGCCGACGTCGTCGCCGCCGCCGTTGACGCCGTCACCGTCGCCGTCACCGCCGCCGCGGTCGCCGTCGACGCCGCTGCCGTCGCCGACGTCGTCATCGTCGCCGCCGCCGTTGTCGCCGTTGTCGCCGTCATCGCCGTGGTCCCAGCCGCCGCCGCCGCCGCCGCCGCCGTCGTCGTCGTCGTCGTCGTCGTCGTCGCCGTCGTCGCCTCCGCCGCCGCAGACGCCGACGCCGTCGTCGTCGTCGTCGTCGTCGTTGCTGTCGTCGTCATCGCCGTCACCGCCGCCGCCGACGTCGCCGTCGCTGCACTGCCGTCACCGTCATCGCCGTCGCCGTCGCCGTCGCCGTCACCGCCGTCGTCGTCGTCGTCGTCGCCGTCGCCGCCGCCGCCGCCGCCGACGCCGCCAAGGTCGTCGTCGCCATCGACGCCGCTGCCGTCGTCGTCGTCGCCCACCGTCATCGTCGTCGTCGCCACCGCCGCCGTAGTCGCGTCGTCGTCGTCGTCGACGACGACGACGCCTCCGCCACCGCCACCGTCGTCGTCGCCGTTGCCGTCGCCGTCGCCTTCGGCGCCGCCGTCGTCGCCGTTGCCGCCGCCGCCGCCGCTGCAGTCGTCGCCGCCGCCGCCGTCGTTGTCGTTGTCGTCATCGTCGTCGTCGTCGTTGTGGTCGTCGTCTTCATCGTCCCTGCCAACGCCGTCGTCGTCGTCGTCGTCGTCGTCGTCGTCGTCGTCGTCGTCGTCGTCGTCGTCCCCCTTCAAGATCGGCGGCCCCGGCCGCCAGGCCTTCGCAATCCCCGCCTCGGACCTGGAGCTCCGCGACGCGGCGCTCGCCCTCGCTGGCCCGGGCCTCCAGCGCGCGCTGCTCCAGGCGCGAGCGGCGCAGCTCGCCGACGAGGCGCTGCACCTCGCCGTCGGAGGCCTCCGCGTTGGCCGCGTTCTGCGCCTGGAACTCGCGCACCTCCGAGGGGCGGCGTTGGTAGGGAGCACACAAAGGACGTACGCGCCCAGCTATGTACATGAACACGGCCCCTTGACCCGCGAGACCTGCCGCGCGATACGAACATTCGCGCAGTGCGAACTCTCGAAACCAGCGTGGATTCATGTACATGTACGTCCTTCTTTCGCTCCTGAGTTGGCTCGGGTCGGACGACGAGGGGTTCGAGGCTCGAAGTTCTCGGGCGTCCTCGTGGGCTCTCCCCAGCAGCGGCGCCTCGCCGAGGACATATTGCGGGGGTGCCCAGATCGCCCCGAAGGGCCGCGGGAGGCCCCCGAGTGGCAACCCGAAGACCACAAGGGGTCTGGCTCTGCGCGGGACACCGAGCGTCGGCGATACACCCTGCGAAATGCTTAAGAAATCATGGGTTAAGAAATTCATAGTCTCAGAAATTCAATTAAAACCCAACATTCCTATTTAAATCTTAGGATTTACATCCAAAAATTAAGAATAATCGAGACTCTGGCCGAAAACTTGGGTTTTCTTAAGCATCGCCTAAGGTGTACATTGCGGATAGCTCGGCGGCAGACTCCCGATAGCGAATCCGTGCGGTCCTGCGTAGGGCGGGGCACTCAGTGGCCCTTGGAAGCGGCATGTTTCTTGTTTATGCTGGTTCCCAAGAGTCTGTCTCTTGATGGTGAAAAAGGTGAGGTCCGTTCGAATGCGCCGGAATTGGAACCATCCCCGGAAACACAAACAACGGCGACGGAAGCGGAAAACAAGCGGCTTCGGAACAAGAACCAAAACAATGCAACGGAACCGGTCAGGAAGCTGCCCTGCCGCTGCCAAAGCCTATTGAGGCCTAGCCTAGAGCTCCCGAGCCTTCTCCCAAGCCTGCTCCACCAGCGCGCTCAGGTGCGCCTGGAGAGAATTGCTTTACACTTTTCGCGGCGGCGGCCGTTACCAGCCCCAGCCGCCACCCCTCCCCCCCAAGGTAAGGTTACGACTCGTGTTGACCTCCGAGATGTCTTTCTTTACAGTGGAGGCCAGTCCACAAGAAACCTTCCACAAGAAACCCAACCCTGAGACCCCAGGACGTCCATTGGTTTTTGGTGTGGGAACGTCACGCTTTCCATCGCAGAACCATCGAACCCCAAGAAACCCAGGGCACCCTGCAAGCAAGCAGGGTGTTTCTTGGCATGGACCTCCACTGTAATGTCACGACTCGTGCTGATCTCTGAGCTGTCTTTCGCTATCCCTTAAACATGCGAGCAGGGGCCGACCGTCCCTGCCTTCCTAAAAGGCCGACCGCGATACGTTCTTGAATAAACATGAACCAAACCAACATTCTTAGAGCATAAGTCGGAAGCTGGGCGACGGCTGGCAAATCCATGGCTGCTAAGAAAGCCTTCCCGAAAGGAAAACATAATTACCCGGAATCAATCTCAGCGCGCTACGTAAATAGTAAACGGGCTGTTTACCAGAACAACAAAACAATCTCCCGGAGCTCCGCTCAAGCAGCCAGCCACGGATTTGCCAGCCTCCGCCCGACTTCTGAACAAGCCCGATGGACTTAACCAAGACGGCACCAGCCAAACATGTTCGAAAAACATCTCGTGCACACCACAACAAGGCTGACAGAAGATTCTTCGGCGGGCCACAAGGCAAGCCAGGACGCCTGGCCACTGCCTGCAGACCTCCCCAGGACGGTGCCGCGAATCGCGACGCTCCCGGCTCCCCGCCCCCCTCCCTCGGCTACACGCAAGAGCGACCCTGGGCAAGAGTGACCTTCGGTGCGCGGCTTCCTGGGGGCCGCGGGGAGACCAAGCCTGGGCGGCGCAGGCCGCTGCCGACGCTGCGCTCTCGGCCATCCGAGGGCCCGTCTGCGCGCCCGCACCAAAAGGTCACTCCGGCGAAAGGCCACTCTTGCGTCTGGCCAACTCCCCCCCTGGCCAACTACACCCTGCGAAATGCTTAAGAAATCATGGGTTAAGAAATTCAGAGTCTCAGAATTTGAATAAAAACCCAGAATTTCTAGTATAATCTTAGGATTTACATTGAAACATTAAGAATAATCGAGACTCTGGCCGAAAACTTAAGTTTTCTTAAGCATCGCCTAAGGTGTACGCCCGTTGTCGCCCGGGCATGAATCGGGGAACGAAGGATGGCATAAACATAAAAAAACACTCGGAGGTCCGCGCGCGAAGCGCGCCAGGGGCGGCGCCAGAGGCGCCGCCAGGGGGGTCCAGCGCGGATCCGAGAAATCCGCGCGGCCCTCCGAGCTGTTATGTTTATGCCGTTCGTCGCTCCCCCGATGAAAGAACGCTCTCCTGCTGCCGCTGCTGCAGCGCGCAGCGCGCCTCTGCCTCGGCGACGGCGGTCGGCGCGCCGTCGTGGGAGCCTCCCGGCCGGGGCCCGTCGGCCCTGCCGCGCGTCCACGCGCCGACCGCCATTGCGGGCCCCCTCCCCGCAGGTGGCCCCCTCACGGCGAGGCCAGGACGAGGATGACATCGGGTGAGGATGAATCGGGAATCTCTGAGACCTCCTCCTCCTCCTCCTCCTCCTCCTCCTCCTCCTCCTCCCCCTCCTCCTCCCGCCTCCTCCTCCTCCTCCTCCTCCTCCTCCTCCTCCCGCCTCCTCCTCCTCCCGCCTCCTCCTGGGACCCGTTTCCCTCGGGATCCGTTTGCCTCGCAGCGAGCGTCCACAGACCGGGAATCTCTGAGATCTGGCGACTCTGGAGGATGTCTCGGGCGCCGTGGCCTGCTCAGAGCGTTCCGGCACGCTCTGGAACGGATTTGTCCTCGTCCTGGTCCGACCCCACAGTGGCCCCCTGCTGGGGCCTCGGGGCCCCCAGGGAGCACCCGGAGGCCGCTCCCTGGGAAGCCGACAGGTTGCAGACCACGAGCAGCATGGCTCTGCGGGGCAGCGGTCGCGACCAGCGTCGCTGCCAGAGGCGCGGCCTCGTGCACCTGTGCTCGTCCGCGCACCCCTCACTCCTCCCCCGTCGGCGGGCTTCTCCTCTTCTCCTCCTCCTCCTCCTCCTCCTCCTCCTCCTCCTCCTCCTCCTCCTCCTTCTCCTCCTCCTGCTCCTCTTCCTGTCATCCTCCTCCCTCCTCCGTCCTGTCCAAAATCATGGCGAGCATACTGAGCAACTGTGCGAAACGCGAAGAGTTTTCTCAAATAGCCAGCGGGGCAACATGCTGCATTCGCGGTGGGGTTGGCAATGGCAATGGGAATTGACGATGGTAAGGGTACCAACCTGAACCGTTACATTCCGACCACGCCGATCGCCATAATCTCGCCCACGTAATCGATCATACCAAAAAGACTCGCTGCCTCATCCTCATCGTCGACCCTCCTCCACTCCCCTCCTCCCCCTCCTCCCTCTCCTCATGAGCCTTGCCGGACAGCAGTCTCACTACTGCCCTCTCGTCATCGTCCTCGCCTTTATCCTACTTCAACTCCTGCTCTTTACCCCTCCTTCTCCTCCTCCTCCTCCTCCTCCTCCTCCTCCTCCTCCTCCTCCTCCTCCTCCGCCTTCCCCCCCCCTCCTCCTATTCCTGTTGCTCCCCCTCCTCCTCCGCCTCCTCCTCCTCCGCCTCCTCCTCCTCCTCATCCTCCTCCTCTTCCTCCTCCTCCTCCTCCTCCACCCACTTCCTCCTCCTCCTCGCTTCCTCCTTCTCCCCTCCTCCTCCTCCACCTCCTCCTCCTCCTCCTCCGCCTCCGCCCGAGGAAGCTCGGCACTGCTGCCATTCCGCGCCGGCCACACACTGCAGCCCTTGCAACCTGGTCCAGCGAAACTGCGCCAAATCCATATCAAGGGGCCCAGGGACTCACAAAAAAATAGACACAAATCCCGGGACTCCCCACACTTTCAATTTTGTGTAGATTTTCGTTTTCCACCCCACTGCCCATATTGTCCCATCTGTTCATCATCTGTTCATAACCCTGGTCCAGAAGCATGTTGTCCCTACTCCGTGGGCCCGTTTCCCTGTCCAGGGGCATGCGCTTCCCAGCTCGGACACCCCCAATCCCTGGCCCCAGTGGTCCTCAGTTCCTGGTCCCCGTGGCCCCATCCCCTGATCCCATGGTGCCCCTTCCAGGTCCCATGCCCTCACTTCCCGCCACGCAGGGGCGGGGTTGCCACCCACAACACAGTAATCCCGGAGGGAGGGGCTATGCCATACTCCCTGCGGGGAAAACAGCGATGCCCCTGCCGACCCCTGCGGCAAACAAGCAAAGACATAAACATAAAAAAACATAGGTCCGCGCATATTCAAATTCCTCAGATCGGCGCTGGGGGCCCTTGGCGGCGCCTCCA